TCTCTGTCCCCCAAAAAATAAATAAACGTTGAAAAAAAAACAAACAAACATACATTTGGCCAATTCTCCCAGGAATCAGAGAAATTTAATTTAAAATAAAATATTTCATCCATCTTAGTACAAACAACCTCACACAAAACAGTGTTATCTGCAGGTTGTGTATGAAACATAAGAGTAAGGGATGCCTGGGTGGCTCAGTCAGTTAAGGGTCCGACTCTTGATCTCAGCTCAGGTCTTCATCTTGGGGTCATGAGTTCAAGCCCTGTGTTGGGCTCCACGTTGGGCCCCACACTCCGTGTGGAGCCTACTTAAAAACAAAACAAAACAAAAAACACCCCAAAATACATAAGAGGGCTGAGATACTACTGACCTGAAAATAATAGCTAAGAATAGCTATTATTGAGTGCTTTCTATTAAAAAACAACTGCTCTAAGCCCTTTTGAAAGATTTACCTCATTTAGTCCTTACACGCCTATAACATGGGTACTGCTATTACCTTCATGATGATCTGAAGCTGAGAGAAGTTAAATGACTTGTCCAAGTCCTGAGTAAGTTGCAGAATCAAGATTTGAATTTGTAAATAATCTCTCTTATATATGGAATCAAAAATAGTCAAACTCATAGAAGAAGAGAGTAGTACAGTGGTTACCAGGGGGTGGGTGGAGAGGGAAATGGGGAGGTGATGGTCAAAGAGGAACAAGATTCAGTTATGCAAGATAAGTTCTAGAAACCTATGGCATAGTTCTTGTAACTAACACTATTATATTTTATACTTAAAATTTGCTAAGAGGGTAGATATTATGTTAGGTGCCCTTACCACACAACAAAAAATAATAATGCCACGTAACAAAAAGTAATAAAGGGGGAGGAAGAAAACTTCGGGGGAGTATGGAAATATCTATGGTCTTAATGGCGGTGATGATTTCACAGGCCTATACTTAATCCCAAACTCATTAAATGGTCTGTATTAAATATATATACATCTCATTTTTCATGTTAATCATACATCAATAAAGTGTTTTTTATACTTTGATTGTATTTACTTTATTTTATTTTATTTTTATTCTAGAGAGAGTGCGAGTGGAGGAGAGGGGCAGAAGGAGAGAGAATCTTAAACAGACTCCACACTCATTGCAGAGCCCAATGCGGGGCTCCATCCCACGCCCCTGAGATCATGACCTGAGCTGAAATCAAGAGTTGGACGTTCAGCTGACTGAGCCACCCAGGTATCCCAATAAAGTGTGTTTTTTTTTTAAAGAGAAAAA